GAGCTGCTCAGGTCCCTTCCGACCCTAGAAACTATGAAACTATGAAAATGTGACCTGTGATCTGTACCAAGGGTTTGCCAGCTCGGCACACCAATGGAGAGCACCAGGGAACTCGAGACATGCAAACACTGGGTTTTCCAGAGTTTCATTTTCTGAGTCTCTGTTGTTAACAGATCAAGCTGAATCTGAGGAGGTGTAAAAAAAAAATCAACGCAGCTCCATACAGGGGCCTCCTAACTACTTCAGAGTGAGATCCTCAGTTGGTTTTAATTTTAGCCTGAGCTGCTCTGCTTTCAAAGAAACGTCCCCTCAGCATATGTGCCAGCTGCTCTCATCTGGCTGGGCAGACTTCCCTGCACACAGGCCAGAAGCCAGGCAGCTTTTCAATGAAGGGGTACCTTGCAAAGTGAACTCTGCAAATTAAGACTGGTCTTGAATCACACTCAGCTTAGTGTGATCTGAGCCTCCAAACCTGACAAACCCAAGTCTCAACAGCACCAGAAGCTGTTGATCTTTAATGAAGATACCACCCCCCTGTTTAGAGAAGTATCATCTACTGCAGCACTGGGAAATTTATCTTGAGAGGTTCCTTTAAGAAGTGAGAGATCTCCTATGAAAACTGCTTTAAAACCACTCCAGACTGCACAGGGCCCAATGCAAGCCCTTTGTGAAAGCTACCGAAAGCTTCCCACTGCCGAGGGAAAAAGCCTCTGTAGAGTTACCTCTTCTTTTTTAAAAGTCATTGCCTTGCAGTCAGCGTTCGGCTTGATGCATCTGATGTAATGAGGCGTAGTGCTATTTAAAATCTGCATCAGGCATTCAAGTGACCCCTACAAAAACAAACAGGAGTAATTAGTGCCCATGCGATGTTTCCACCCTTCTCTTCCTCCATGGTAGTTTAGCCGATTTAGTACTTTTTTGGGTATTTTTAAAGAAAAGGTAGCTTTCCAAATAAGTGGGAATTGGACTTAAAACTTTTACAGTCCAGGCGGCAGGGCAGAGGAGGAGGGTGGTACTGGAGAAGCCTGGACAAGATCCATTTCTTTCTGAGAAAGCCAACTGTCTGAGGATATGGAAGGAGAGTTTGGCACATGGCCACAAGATCGGGGTTAGGAAGTGTGACAGGAACTTTGTAGGCCAAATGCTACTCTTGGCTCAATCATTAAGTCCAGGAAACCTCACTGAAGCCTATGAAGCTACTCCAGTTTGATACTTGACTATTAAACGGTATTTAGTTTAAAGTCAGAAAATAAGTGGAACAATTTTACTATAAAATGACTTGAAGGCAGCAGTGGAAAAGCGGTTGCCTAAGTCAGACAAGGAAATGAGAGCTAAATGGAAACAGAAGCATGAATGGGACAAACCTTGAACTTTGAGACCACTGTAACAATGGCTGCTCTATTCTGGGTTTTGACATCGTTTTGGCTTTCCTCCGTCATAGGAAACAATGTCTGAAGCAGCAAGTCCTCAGATGTCTGCAGAAGCTGAACTAACTCTGGTGGAATCGGGTCCTGCACAGACAAACAGGACCCTCGTAACAATTCCCAGCAAAATGACTTGCATCCTAAGAGCTGAGACGACACACAGTCGATTCCAGTGTTCACAGATCACCTCGTTTGCTTTCTGTGTGTGATGCTAGTTATACACACACTAGTTCAAAAGCATTTGAACGCAGGTGCAGACCCCTTTGGATTGTAAGCATGTGGGTATTCGCGTACTTTTGATTGATCACAGTCATCTTTCACGAACCTCTTAGATGTAGTCTGCAGACCCCCAGAGGTTGTGTGATACTAGTTGTAAGGCCTCTGCACTGCAGCCCGGCGACTAGATCAGCAGCACTCGGCTCCCGAAGCGCAGAGCCAGCTGAGCCTCAGCATGCTGACTGGTTCTGGGGCTGCTTTTTAAGGAGCTCTTGTAGCACCTGCTGCCACTGCTCAACAAACTGGCTTTAGTCTGCGAGTAGCTCTTGCCTGTGTGACTTCCCCGGTGCCTGCTCCTGCATTCCTGCCTGTGTACCCAGCCCCTGAACTCTGGAGCCCCAGTTTGACTGTGGCTTGCCCCCTGACTACAGACATGGGTAACATCCCCCCCAGCTCTAGCCACTAGGCCTAATGCCTCTGGGGACCCTGACACAAGTGATAAACCAAAAGGTAAGTCCATGCTGCTCTTTCCCTAAGTGTACGCAAGTTGAAGTCTGAATGTAATACTCCTGATGAAATGTCATACTGGAGGCCATCACTCCACACAGTTTGCAATGCCAATGTTCAGTCAGTCTGTTAGCGAGGGTATTTTCAGAATTTCTGATTCTCTTCTAATAAGAGCCACGTGCCTCTTTTTCAGCTGGTCAGTTTGCTTTTTATAAACATACCTTGTTTTTCTCCACCATGCCTTCTACCTGGTAACCGACTTTGCCAGCATAATGGGAAATAATGAAGTTGGGCTTCTTGCTAAACTTGTCCCGACTTATACATTCATTATCTGACAGGGTTTTTTCAATCCGGGTTTGGAACAGGCTGATGTTGGAGGACCTGTTCAGACGACACTCCTGTATGATGAAAACAAGGTAGAATTGCAGTATCGTCCCCTATATGCAGCAAACAAGCAAACTATTAAAATCCTTTTTGCGATGGCTTACTTAGAAGTAAAATATCTTGAGATCTCCGTATTCCAAGCACTGGAAAGTATTATGAAGAGTAAATAAGACTGTAATGGTATCCAGGTTGTAGCCGTATTGGTCTAGAGAAAAAAGCAATCAGGACGACTCATAGTAGAGAGATGGTATCTTTTATTAGACCAACAAGATTTTTGAAAAATGAGTCCTGATCGCCTTTAAAAATGTAATGGGGTTTCATGCTTAAAGCCATCTATATGTGCAGCATCAAGTGGGAAGGAGATAAATCGGTGTTATGCACATACCTATAACATGATACAAATATGTTATTTTGCATTAATCTACTGCCAAGCTCCTCTTGGGATGCTTTCATACTAAACAGAATATAGCACTAACATTTCTTCTGTGGTGGTTAGAGAGAAGATGGCAGCGGTTAAAGTTCAACCCTTAAACTTACCTCATTGAGCAATGAAAAGATGCTGACAGGGCTTCCTTCTATCAGGTCTAGACAGCTCTGGTTATCCTGGTAGTTTATAAAAGACCACTCAAGACCTTCTGCTGCATATTCTTCCTAGTGCGTGAAAGAGAAATCCAGAGAATGTGATCCAGGGAAAAACAGTCTCTCACCTTGGCTTCTTTTTTTTCTTTAGAAAGCACAACTCAGTTTATATAGCCTTACTCATCCTAATAGAGAGCTGGCAGGGGGGTTATCACTTGCAGAAATACAGCCGTTTGGAAGGTCCGTCTGCAGGAACCTTCAGCTAAGGAGACCTGAATCCCCTTGGGCAATCTGTAAATGCATGTGGAAACTCTCCAGTTATCCCTAAAAGCTGTGCAGATGTTTGACAGAGTGAGTGAACGCAGGTTTTAACTTAATTGCACCTCCACTGCCCAGGCAGGATCTCCCTCGAGGGGAAAGGGAATCTCACACGAGCGTTTTCAGAGCAGAAGTTGGTCTTCAGCAAGCATAGGAGGTAATGGTGCTATACTTAAAATAAAACTAAATGCCGGAGGAAGTGGATGACAAAAGCATCACCTGATTGTAAGAATCAGTTTTACCTCATTCCTTTACTGGCCACAGTTCAGTTCTATGTTACAGAAAAAGAAAATACGGAAGCAGAATGAATTCTCGTCTTTAAAAGTCTGCAGCCGAGAATTACCTAGGCAGAGTCACTAATGGAATATAAAGTGGTTGGCATCCAGCCAGAGTGAGAAAGGGAAGAGGGCAAGTGGCAACTCGCAGCAGGCAGCAAACAGCGCTGGAGATGCAAGTTAGAATTGTTTCAGTTGTCTAAAGGAAAGTAATAGTGTACGTAAGACCTGGTTTCCTTCTCAGCTGACTGTTAATCCCTAGTATGCTGGCACATAGCATGCAATGACTTTGGAGAGCATTAAAAAAATACTTTACCGTGTGTGTGTGTGTGTGTGTGTGTGTGTGTGTGTGTGTATTTTTATAAATAACTTGTCTGCATGTGTGTGCATGCTTGTGTGTATATATACATACATACACACAACCATATTTTATATATATGCTATAATATATAAAATATGGTCAAGTTTATACATATGTATAAATTGTGTTCTTAAAAGGTCCTTATTTGCTGAAAAAAGCTGCAAAACATATTTAAGATTGATTTTTTTTTAATGCTACTGCCTGCAATGTAGCATTCATCCTCCCACTGATAAAAAAATACTATCAAGTTTTAGGGGGGAGGGGGCTTTGTCCTTTCAGCTCAGTTAAGTGGGCAGAGAAGCATGATGAGATGTAGGGGGGGAAGGGGGATATGGATTAAAAGGCAACTCAAAGTGTATGTGGAACTTAAATATTTTATTTCTATTACATTAGCATCCACAGGCTTCAGTCTCAATTGGGCCCTGTTGTGCCAAGTGCTGCATGGACTTCAAAGCATTTGTCTAGGATGTATTCGGCACATCAAGAACTGGAACTAATTAGCAGCTGGTTTAGCACTTGGTTATTTGATCAACCAATGACTGGATCAAAAGTTGAGCAAAGTTCAAAGCGTTTTCTTGATGTCTGCGTAAGTACAGGTTAATTTCTGTGCCAGTTGCTGTAATGCAGAGAGAGAAAGTGGTTCCTGGTAGTTTACAAGTACTACTATCAATTAATAAAAGCAGAGGGCAGACACAAAGTGTGCTATTCGTACTGAAGGACAGTGGTGTGGCAGCCGGGTTTGAGAGAGCAGACATCTCACACAAGGCACTGTGAACTGGTCAAGTCCTTAGTTATTGGGCTGTGTGTGGCCTCTCTATCCTGGGATCAATTTTAGCCTGAGAAAATTGCCTTCAGTTAACTGAAATCAGGGGTGATCCAGACAGCTGTGTGCTTAACACCTTTTCTTGCTGATGGGAAAGTTGTGCGTTAGCACCAATGTCTGAGGGAACTGCTGTTCAGGCATAGCTCATCTCAAGAGGAGACCAGCCAGCTTGGCTGCACTCAAATGCCTTTTAGCAGCTGTGCTCTGAACAATCTGTCCTTCATGGCATCCCTGAAATACTCTTTTTTTCCCCTCCTACTCTGGAAAGCGTCCCTGTCCCCTTCCATGCTCTTTCCCAACAGCAGCCCAATTCTGCAATCCTCATTCAAGTAATTTGTACTTACGTGAGCATCAGGAGAGGCAAGTAATTGTACAGAAACTTAAGTGAAGGCCACATGACACCACCTCAAATACACAGCTACAACTCTAAGTTAACAGAACTGGATTGGGATTAGGAGGAAATACAATTGTGTTGCCTGTTATCTCAGAATGACAGTACCTGTTGTGCCTTCAGGTAGTGTGCCACAAAGTGTTGCTGTAGTTTTTCATTGGCATAATTAATACAAAGCTGTTCCAGATTGTTTTCAGGGAAAGATTCAAACCCATAAACATCCAATAACCCTAGAAAACATAGGGGAAAAATATCCATAAGATCTAATGTGCTTGGGTCTAAAGAAGGAAAAGCTACTTAATACTCTTGAATCTGAGAGACTAAAACCCTTACCTATAAAATTGCTCCATGTGGAAGAATCTGCATAGATGCTTTCATTTATTACCGAAACCAACCAGTCAAACAATCTATAAAATAATAAAAACTTTGATTAGGTGGACAAAAAAAAAAAAAGTGCCTCTTTAACCCTCAAGGGCCCAGTTCCATTAAGGACAGAAGGCCAAATTTTGCCTTTGTCTTTTCCTGTGCAACATACAGCTCAGCCCAAATCAAAGAGGAGTCCCAGGATGTGAAGGCAGAATTGGCCTAACACTCCTATAGGCCAGTTTCCTTTATTTTTAAGATGTGGACTTTTGCCATTCTTTATTTTAGACTGTAGTAACACCTAGAGCTCTGAATCAGTTGTGTGAACATACTTTGCTTAGGAGATGCAAGTCCACGCACAAAGACTGGGCTGTCCTTGAGGTGCATGAAAAGAGAATTCTGTCACACCGCTGAGCTGTACGTTCAGATGATTTCAGCTCAACACACATCAAGTATTGTAGCTGGATAGAAATAGATTTCAAATCTTGCATATGAGCTAGTTTCATTCCCACCGAATAAAGCAATCCTGTGGCTGGCAATTTGCATATTTACTCATTTAGGATACAGTTTAGGATTAGCTACATTAAGAGTCACTTAAGTCTGTAATGGGAAGCAGTTGCTCAGGGGTTCCAAACCTTTCTTTTCTGTAGCATGAATTGCATTTTAAGTGCATTTAAATCGCATTAGCAGTGGAGAAGGGCTTTATACAATCACTAATGGTATAATACCTGTGCAAGCAATTTGCAACAGGGAAAAAGTAATTATTTTTAGCTGTCTTAATGCAATTTAACTGATGAAACTGAAGAAGTCAGCAGAACGTAACCAGTGTGTGGAACGGCCTGCTTGCTGTACTTTTACTAGGGAAAACATGTCTATAGAAGGACAGACATCAGCTAGTGGAGAGAAAAAATTCTGAACTAGTAGACCTGGCACAAGCAGAAGAAAAGTGATTGAAAGTTCCTACACAGACAACCCAAGGCAAACTTTCCAAGATCCAGTATGTGCCGCAGGCAAGCTAGATAGCAGCCATTCAGCTGAGAGCACGAGGAAATGACTGATTGGGATGGAGCAAAGCCATGCGAGGAAGCCTTCCCCTGGGGAGCTGAAAGCAGGTTGTCTTCATATACCTCTTCCCCTCCCTCAGCACAAATTTCCCGCATGCTTGTACAGTTGTCACTACAGTTTGCACTTACTTGGCATAGATAACTTTGGCCAGGCAGTCCCTTCTTGTCTCGCATTCTGATCTGGAGCAGGGCTTTTTGAAGACTTGCTGTTGCTTTCCAGCAGTTATAGTTCGAATCCTCAGTGTTTCCAGCAACTCTTCTGCGGACATTTTCAGCAAGTCTGCTGTGGTCTTCACAAAGCCTTGTTCAGAAAGCAAAGTTTGTAACACTAAAAAAAAAAAAATCTAAATTCCTTCTACAAATGTAAATGCCTTATTTTATAGATAGGGCACTATTCTGAGATCAAAATTAAAAAAGACATGTTTGACTTCATAGGATATTCTCTTTCTTAAGCTCAGGACAAGATTTTTCAATATGGGCCTCAGATTTTGGGTGCTCAGTGACCTCAGAGTTACTCAAGAGGTATTCAACTTCTTTTGAAAGAAACTCTAGTATATGAAGTTCGCTGTCCAAAATTAGTTCGCTTCTTGGAAGTCTGAACTGCAACTCTTAAAATATACACCTATCCATTTGCTTTGCAATTTCACCGAGGCCCTGGCTTGTACTGCACAGAGAACTCCAAATCCATGTAGAGAAGAAACACTTATGACCAACAAAATAGACTACCTTTGCGGTATACTGTGGTGTCAAGATTTCCTAATGCATTTTAAGACTCACTAAACACAGAAAAAAACCAACTGAAACAAACTAGAAAATTATGGGGCCTGAGTGAAAGTGGACTGATTTTGTCAGAGATTGTGCAAAAGAAGTATGAAGCCCTACTGGTTAGACCAGTGTTTTACTTTTTGTGGGAAGTCTGGAGTCGCTGGAGTTGAGTCATAGAAACCGTCTATTGAAACAAGGAACATGCTGCATATTTTCCCTTGCAGAGTGCAGCCGCTTTTGTAGACGGTAGCTAATTTGACAGGCTTGCTGAGATCAGAATGTGAAGGTGGAATTACAACTATTACTTGAGCACGAACACACACTACAAAAGCCCTACGCTCGGGTATGTCTGAAGTTTCAAAGCTCCACAGTGTAAGTACAGGACTAGACCTGAGGATCCTGGTCCTGCCAGCAGCTTGTTCTGTAGCTTTGGGCAATTCATTCAGGTCTCCTGATCTCTAAGATAGGATGTTATCTCTCAGGGACAGGGAGGATTAAATGTGTGCTTGTACAGCACTTTGAAGCTCTAGGGCGTTTTTAGAAAGGCTCCATTCTGCCCTCTCCCTCCCTCCTTTTGAGTGGCTGTTCTCTTCACTCCCTCCTGCAATTAAAGTTTTCTATTGAAAGGCAGAGTACAGTACATCAGACTGTAATGCTCCTTCCCACTGGAAAGCAAACACCAGAGCTATGTATGCTTGAGTTGTTTGGTACCTTACCTTTGGCATCATCTTCTGGCTTACAAGGCTGAGATTCATCTATGGCACTAGAGAACTGAATGTTACCAAGATGCAGAAGCCCTGCCAGTACCTGCAACATGAAGAGGCGCTTCAGTGCTGGAGTGGAGATTTACCCGATATCACTAATGGCACATCCCCGATGAACAGGACAACAGCAGAAACATTTCCACCAATATACAAATGGTTAGAAAGCTGCTGTTTATTTCTAAAGTCACTAGCTTAGGTTTTGATCTTGCACAACTGTAGTCAGTGGGAGCAGGAATGAGCCCTTTGATTGCATAAGGGAACAAGAGCACCTCTAACTGCAACTTCACGTTCTTCTATAAGTGACCGCTGAGGCCTGGGGTGGTGCAGGCGCCGAGGTGCACGGTTGGCGGCCCAGAGGTTGCAAGTTCAAGGTTAAAACAGAAGTGCTCACGTTGAGGCCCGTCAGATTGCAACGAACCTGCAAATTCTGCTAAATGCCTTGTCACAAGGACACACAAAAGGGAAAGGATAAGGGATTACTGAATCCTGTAGAACAGAGTTAATCAAAGGCAGTGATCTGTAGAAATGTGGAATTAGAGGCAAACCTGCTGACCCATTAGAAGTCAGTTTTGCACCAGTAAAGACTGCAATGTTTAGTACTAATGGTACCAAAGCTGGCACTTTACACGGACCCTATTGAGCGAGCATCCCAACTGCCCCCTTCAGAATGAATCAGCAGATGTATCTGACCTTAAAAATGTTGTTCTGTGTGGAGTGGTCAATGCCCAAGTGAAACATTGCATCTCTGGTTACCCCAAAGCAGTCCTCTGCAAAGCCAAAGAGGGTGGTGTTATATATTTTATATCACACTACAAACAGGGTCCCAAACACTGCTAACCAAGCCCTTTCTCAATCCTTCAAAAAGGCAAGATGGTTCTGCTGAAATTTTCAAAGGAACTCAGGCGAGCAGTGTCCTTTTGAAAAGTCCCAGCTGCCAACCAAAAAGAAAGAGGTCACGTTACTGCCACTGAGTGACTTAATGGAGTGGAATATCGACCTGTTGTGGGACACAGAGTTTAGGTTGCAAATTGATAAAACACCTACATATTACACCAGGTTTCCGAACTTGACCTCAAAGTAATGCAAATAACTTGGGTCAGGACATGCTATTCTGTGGCAAGAACAAGGTCTTAACAGTGCAAAATTAAGTCTAAACAGAGGCAGTCATGCAGGTGGCTTTGTGGAAGTGGAACATAAATCCACTGCCCCAGTGCCTTAAGTCTCCCTCAAATGATTAACTTGTGGTCATGTGATTTGTCTTAAGCCCATATATGCATTCACCACTAATATTTTTTTGTGTATAGAAGTTCAACTCTTTGTGCCAACAAAATCTGTGCTGTTACCTTCTAGGTCTTTTTCAGAATTGGGCAACCAGAAAAAGTTTGCACTTTCATGGAGGTTCCACTCCGCCCTTTCTTTCTTAGTGGCACCTTTTGTGATCTTGAAACAGAAAACAAAAGAGTTACTGAATCCTAATGCCGGCATTTACATTTTCTGGTAGCAAATGGTAAGCGTATTTCCAATTTCCCACTCAGTGGGATGCAAACAACAGATCCAGAAAATGAAACGTAAACTGAGTAAACAAACTGAGCACCAATAAAACAAAAAGTTGCAAGTACATCTTGTGTCCAGCTCTAGCCAGTCTATCACCACTGTATTTTTAGAAATACAAAGATAAGTGAGTCTAGTACAAACCTGATAAAAGATATGGAAGTTCCTTTCGCAAGGGGCCTGATAGGCAACTCTGGTTTTCTCCAGTAGGAAAGTTTGAATGGAAGCACTAGTCAGATGTTGTGTTCTAGAGAAATGATAATTTTTTTAAAATGCACTATTAGAGATAGAAACCCCATGGTCACACAGTGTACAAGGGGTCCCTAGTTTGTAAGTAATGCTTTAAGCTTCCGATGGAAGCTTTCTGGTGTTTCTTTCATAACATTTCTATTCTGGGATCCTTAAGATGATTATCCATGCAACGGCACAGTAGTAGCCCATTTATATCATCTTCTGGACTGAAGTTCTGTTTCCAAGTTAGATGTCCATTAACTGTTTACACTGTACTAATTAAATCCAGGAAACTCAAGAGTCTCAACAGGCCAAAGCATGTTACAAAAACGCTCCACTCGAATATTCTGTGGAAAGCTTGAGAGACCAGTTTGCAAGAAGTGAAAGTTGTACAGATGAAAAAACAAAAAAGAAAAATAGACAGCTCAAGCATTTTGCATAATTGTGAATACCTGTTTAACTGAAGCTGGATATATTTCCCAAAACGGCTACTGTTGTTATTCCGTAGAGTACATGCATTTCCTGTGAAGTTACCGGGAGTGGGGACAGACAAAGCATTATCATTCTCCAGCCGTGAAAAAAAACAGAGCGGTTTTACGCTTCTACTTAGGAAACATAATTACACAGGATATGCAAGTTTTTCAGAGGTGAATTTCTCTTTGAATTTCAGAGGGAGATGTTTTAGGTCTGCGTGTGTTTTAAAATATATCATTTTGTTTTAAACAACAGACAATTCCTTTTTACCAAAAGCCTCCATAACAGGGTTCGAGTCAAGTACTCTCCTCTCGATCCTTTCCACCATTTCACTGCCTTTAGGGGAAGTGGTTGAAGCAGCAACAGTGGCATAAAATTTCATAAGGCAGCGGGATGTCCAAGTCTGAAAAAGAGGTTTCACGTAGGCATTTGTCTGCTTTCACCACATTAATTGTCTATTCATAACAAGAGACATAGCTGTTGGAAAACTACAGCGTGTTACTATCTAATATGCTGAAGAAACTAGAAGTGCACCGATATACTGGTCCATATCGTATCGGCACCGGTAAAAGGAAAATCAGCATTATCGGCAATTGGCTTTTTTTGGCTGATGTGGCCTGTATGTTGCCGATTAAATGCTGTGTGCCTGCACGCAGCCACAGCATGCACATGGCCAGCCAGACAGCTTGGAGAGCAGCAGCCAGCTATTAAGTCTGTTGCGGGGGAAAGAGTAGAGAGAGGGAAGGGGCATGGGGCGGGGGGAGCAGATTGAGGCTCCTGTGGTGAGGGAGGGAGTGTGACTGGGGCAGGAGCAGGCGCTGCCCAGCTGGGGTGGGGAATGGGATAGAGCTGTGAGCGGCACGTCTAGGGGGTGTGGGGCGGCTCCCACTGCTGCGTGCATCCCCAGGGAAGCCATGGGGGACGTGTGCCCCCCGGATCTGTGCGTGGGGCAAAGGCGGGCTGCTGCTGTGGGCTGGGGGAGGCGCTGGGCTCTTCCTGGCAGAGGGGGGTGGTCTGGACCAGGGTTGTGCTTGGGCCGGGTGGCAGTGGTGCTGGGGGGGTAGGCTATGGCGAATTCTGGGGTGGCTGAAGCCCACCCTGTAGTGCCTCCCACCCCAACGCCACTGCCACCTGCCCTGAGTACCGCCCTGGCCCAGCCCCCCTGCCTGGACGAGCCCAGTGCCACCCCCCGCCAGCCTGCAGTGGCAATGTGCCCTTGCCCCGTGTACAGATCCGGGGGGCACATGCCTCCCGTAGCATCTCCGGGCATGTGCGCAGTGGCAGGATCTGCCCCTCTTCCCCATGCCCCCCCTGAATAAGCTGCTCATGGCTACATCCCACCCCCTG